GAACAGACGATCAAGTTCAGCGCGGCGGCGGCGCTCTTCTTGTTCTTGTTCGAATTCATCCTCATCACCGTATCTGTACTTCCTCTTGCGGTTGCCCGTCTCGTCGAATTGAATATCCGTTGCCTCGCGGTAAAACTGGACATCCTTTGTCTTCTTCTTGTTGGCGACCATGATAGGATCCTTCAAGTGAATGTGGATAATGACGATCAACTCATGTTGGCATGGCTGGAAGAAGAGGTGGCGGACGTTGGAGAAGAGAATGTCGACTCGCTGTTGTGTGCTCAATGGCGATTGGTAGCGGATACCATTCTGGTGTATCTCTACCTTGCCAGGAACTCTCTTGCCCTCCATCGCCGGGCGAATGAAGACGTTATCAAGCACGGCCGGGCGACGGTCTTGCGCAACACGTTAGCATGCTCTTGTAAGGCAGTATCGACTTCAACTTACTTCTTATTTCGACGAGCTTGTCCTGCTCGACAACGTCCTCTAGTTCCTTCTTCTCCTGCTCCTTCTTGTTCACGTCTCGCTTCATGTTGGAGATTTGAGTCGCGATTTCTTGGTAGCGGTCGCCATCCGTTGACCTAAACGTCAAGCTTCTAACGAAGTGCGCAGAGGCGTCCTCGAAGGGCTGGTCGTCCTTGCGTCCGACTCCCTGGCCTGGAGACAAGAAGTTGACACGCAAAAATGACCATTCGCCTTCGTCGCTCTTGCTGGCGTTCTTGATCGTGTTAATGTGGAAAGGCACAGGTCTGCCCATGACAGGCAGAACGACGGTGTCATTTCTCGCATCAACCACAATCTGCAGTTCGCGGACCTTGGGAGGGAATTGGTTGTCGCGTTTGTACGAATCGAAGCGCTTGAACTTCTTGACTTCCGTACCGTTCTTGTCGCTGGTTGACTCTGAGAACCGAGCAAGACCCTCCTTCTGCTTCTTGGAAGCTAACTCCTTCTGATGCTCGCGACGCTTCTTCTCGGCATCCTCGTCGACCTGGGTGGATCTCTCGGATCTCAACCTTGTAGAAGTGATGTTTTTAGTAGCAACAGCACCAACACGGGAGTCCTTCTTTTCCTTCTTCGGCGTCGGTTGAGCCTCTTCCTCATCCTTGAAGAAAAAGGAATTCGAGTCGGCGTCGATCGGGGTCTCGCCGGTGAAGACAACGGCATCGCTGGACGTAACACGGATCGTGTCGGTGATAACAAGCGAATAGATCTTGCTGTTCTTGTCCTGCGGTTGAGGGTTCTCGATGTCGCTGAATCCGGTTGTGATGACGAGCGTCATACCGTCCTTCAGGGCTCGGGAGTTCTTGGCATTAAGGATCAGAGTAGGGTCGCGATTCTCCAAGCCGACGCCCCAACCAACGTTCTTCAGGAAGTGCTTCTCCAGGTCTGGCTTCTTGGCCTTGATCATGCTCATGGCCTTGCTGTAGACGTCCTTGATGACAACGCCGTCGCGGACCTCCTTCAGAATCATGTTGTGAATGTTGTAGAGGAGTTTGTAGTTGCTCTCCTGCGACTTGTTCGGATCCACAAGGTATGTGCGAGCAATAGCAGAACAGTACGACTTGTAGCGCAAGCCCATAGCTGCGACGATGGTTCCCGGGTGCAGGACGTCGTCGTTGCTCTCCGAGTTCATCTTGAGATCGTACTTGCCACCACTCTGGACCAGAGGGCCCAGAACCCAGTCCAGCTGAGCAGGATCCAGATCTGTGGGAAGCTTGCTCTTGTTGGGCAGCTCGACGGTCTTCCAAAATTTGGTATCGTCCAGCTTCTTATCAACCTTATCAGCCAGCGCGCTGTGCTTGACCTTCTTTTCCTTATCGAGAATGTCCGACATTTCCTCAAGGAAAAAGGGGGTCATCAAGGCAACGCATGCCTTGGACGCGGTTCGCATGGCTCGCAGTTCGGTCTCGTCCTTGATCGAAAAGGCGTGCTGAGAGAGGGCTTGGGAGATGTCAACTTCCTCGACATCCTTGCATTGGTCGGCGAAGACCTTTTTCCACTCCTCGACGAAAGGCCCTTTGGAGGTATCTCTGGCGATGGTGCCAACTTTGTTCTGTGGGGAGATTGTCAGCGGAAACCAATGCAACACGCATATGAAGAATGACTCACGCCTGCCGACTTGATGGCGTCTGCCAGCTTGACGAACAATTTCTCGTTCTCGGCTGCGTCCTTGCCTCGTACAAGGACTTCGAGGGGAAACCGGCCGCCCTTCAGCTGGTCAAGGTGCTTCGCTAAACAAGAGGTTAGTCGTAGCTCGTCGCAAGCGCATAAGTTCGATGAAGCGCATCCTCACCTTTCTTGGCGGTAGTCAGGATGTAGATCGAGTCGACCGTCAACAGCATCATCGTCGTGGGGAATTCGTAGCCAAGCAACCAGAACTGTCGCGAACGAAAAAAAAAAGTCAGCCAACTGTCTCATTTTCGCAATGTGAGCGCAACTCTGCGAATTGCATCGCGATCGCGGTTGCCGCTTTTGATGGCAGGAAGGGAGGCAGGCAACTCACATGCATGGCGTTGTTCTTGTGCAGCTCGGGGACTTCCTCCACCTTGCCCATCATGACAATGATGGACGAGGCGCCATTGAAGACGCCATCCTTGGTGCGCAGGTCATTCTTCCAAGCGCCGGTGAAGCGCGAGAGGCGGTCGTGGAATGCCTTGCTGTCGATTTTGATGTCCCCCATCGTCGCTGCCTGATCGAGTGACGGATGTTGAAGCAGAGAGAAGGGGGTTGGAATCGGAGAGGTTCGCTGCCGGGTCGACGCGAGTAAAAATCCACGCGTAAATGGGAGCCAGGTCCAAGAACTAAAGTGGGTCGCTAGCAGATGCCCACACGTGACGTGACCGTGTCGCAGCAGGCTCCAGGTGCCATGAATTGCTGGGGTAGGTAAGGTAGGTAGAGTTCGATGGGCGGTGCTGCTTGCTCGGGGATAGCTCGCCCCAAACGTGCTAAAGAGCTAGGGTAAGGTACCTGGTTAAGAAGCAGGTGCAGCAGGTTGACCACGGGCCGGCAGCTCCAGCAACGCTTACTAAGTAGCTATTGTTGCTTAGACAGTTGCAGTTACGAAGTTAAAAACCACCCTTTGCATCAAATGATGTCCACAGGACTAAACAGGACAGCGGGCTCTTTCTAATTTACCTCCCGAGCACCAAGATTTAGGCAGATAACTACAATAAGTCGATTTGCCTCTCGCACCGCTAGTTAGTTACTTCCGCTTAGGTAGAATACCATACCGTTTTAGACCAATCCCAGCCAATCGTAACATTTTGGGGTCCTTGCCGATCGAATCGCCAGTGGGAGAGCGTACAGTGTATCCATAGGCGGCAAAATTCCCAGTGTTCGACGAACAACACAACACTTCGGCATGGTGATGACATTTGGCCTTCGCAAACATGCCCGTCCGACGAAATGTTCAATCGCGTGCTCTCCACAAACTCTTGAATACTCCACCGGCACCGGCACCGGCACCAACCGACACCGCCCGGGACAGCATTCAACCGGAGTGTGAGGGGAAGAAAGCTCGTCGGCCCGCCCGATTTTCGGGATGTGGAGACGGGACTTACACCCAGACTACAACCCCGCCTCCGAACATTTAAGCTCATGAACTTCAACTCTCAAGTCTTTTTGTGCAGCTTCATCCGTCCTTTCAATAGAGAGACAATTTCATGCAATCGACAAGATTCTGGCGAATCACAAACATATCACGTCCGCGGATAACCGGTAGTCTCACAGCCAAAGCCCCATTCAAAACCCAAGCACCCCTCAAAATGCGTCTCCCTTACGTTCCCAACCCTCCCCCTACCACCACCCCCGAGGACGCGGCCATCGTATCCCGCATCGAAGCCCGCCGCGCCCCCCGGCCCCTCCAAGCCCTCGACCTCACCCTCCTGCACGCCCCTCCTGTCGCCGACGGCTGGAACTCCTTCCTCGGCGCCGTCCGCACCCAGACCACCATCGGCGCCGACGTGCGCGAGCTCGCCATCTCCCGCGTCGCCGTCGTCAACAAGGCCTGGTACGAATGGGGCCACCACGCGCCCCTCGCCGTCAAGGCCGGCGTTCCTACTGCCGGCATGGACGCCATCAAGACAGAGGCGCCCTTGGAGCTGAGCGCGAGGCCCGAGGTCCTGAGTGAGCAGCAGTGGGCCGTGTTGGTCTACGCCGATGAGATGACGAGAAACGTGAGGGTCAAGGACGAGACCTTTGCGGTGCTCAAGGGCCTTTTCAATGAGAGGGAGGTTGTCGAGATTACTACGACGGTGAGTTTGCTTCGGGACAGAGGCCTGGACGGATGCTGATGAGAATCACAGGTTGCGTGCTACAACTGCGTGAGCCGCTTCTTGGTGGCTCTCGATGGTGAGTGCTCTTTTATCCTTTACTGATTACTCTGAGTCTGGCTAACGCAGGGGACAGTTGGCGAGAGGAACAGCACAGGCCCCGATGATGTCGAGCTGCCTAGTCACTAATTCATCGACTTTCACCGGTCTGGTTGAAAATGAGGTACGTCTAAGGTCAAGAAAGTTCTTTGATGGATTGACCTGAAGAGAATGCTAAGCTGATTGCAGTGAACCGTGGTCCACGGGTGAAAACAGGGGGCTGGTAGTGCTGTGGAAAGGGGTATCTCATCTAAGTGAAGTGAAGTAAAACTCTCCATGACAACATGACCAAAAAACCACAACGTCTTCTCACTGCTTGATCCTATTCATAAAACCTTAGCGCCGGTACCGCCACATGATTGTCATTCAAATTTTATGTGAGTCTTGAACAAAACGCGAAAGCCAAATAGGCGCCGCGCAAAACATGCCGCTACGCTTCATGCTGATGCCGCAAAAGATGCTGCTCTTAGCGTAGTACTAAGGCCATGCAAGGTTCTGCTTGCTGTGAATGCATATGCGTCGTCATAGGTCGTGATAGTATCCTGTAGTCGTAAGTCGATAATCGTATCTTCATGATAGCCCATGTCTGCATCGATGATCCGAGGTCGATGACAAACCCTCCCCGGCCGATCAGAGACTCAGCCTGGAGTTGGCCAGCTCTTGCTCGATCGATCGCTCAATGGAGGTGCGCCGCTTGTGTAGCTTGGGGCTCCTTTGCAACTCTTGGACAACGCCTACCCATCCCATCTTGTGGCCCGGCTGCGTATCTGCGTGATGGCCGAGAGCCTGGGTAGTCAGCCTCCTCAGCGGCGGCTTCTGGCGAATCTCCTCGGTCAGGGCGCGCGTCAGGCTCGCCTTCATGGGATGCATCATCGGGGGTGTGAAGGGCAGCGGCGACTTCTCCGGATCTGTCGGCGGCGGCGTCACCGGCGTTGCCGCATGTCTTTCGGCCGTCGCGCTGGCCCTCTCTGCCACAACGCCCATGTACACAACGAGAAACCGCACCCTCACGAGATCGAGCCTGCGCACGCGCTCTTCGAGATCGCGGCGTTTGTTTGCCCACAGAAGGCGGGCAGGTGTGCGCAAAGTGGTTGTGTCGTCGGAGAGAAGCATGGAATTGATCTGCTCGCGTAAATCGTCGCCTCCTCTCTGTATCTCACGGAGCAGTCGGCCGAGGCGCAGCTTGTCGTCAAGGCGCTGTACCTTTGCGATATCGCGATCGTAGCTCTCGTTCTCCTCGACTGAAAATTCGACAGCATCAATAAAGGAGCTGATTTCGCTGGGTGCGTCACGGTAGGCGGTTATGTATGTGGTCATGATCTGGGATAGGACGATGAAGGAAAGCAGGAGAGCGGTAAGGACAAGGACGATCGTCCACTGGCGCGCCTCTGACTCGGCCATGTCGGAGCGTGTGTGTAAATTGCAACAGGTGATACTACAACAGCATGATGCGACGGAATATGCGACAGCCAGAAGAATGGTGTGAGTATGTTGATGACTGCAGTCTATGGTGGTTTCAACAGAGCCAACGGGGCGAGATGTTATGGATTGGAGGAAGGAGGGGAAAGACACGGAAAGTGATGGACGTGAGGAGGCAACATTTGATGACGATGCAAGTGTGTAAACGGAATCGGGGGAGGGAGAGGGAGGGCTTCAAGGGCTCGCCGGTGGTAGGGTGGTGGATGAAGACGTCCCGTCTCCGAAGTGTGCTGTGTGCGCAAGTGCTAGGGTCTGTAAACGGATCCTCGGTGACTACTAATACGACTTTGCACTTGCGCAAGGTATTGGAAGCGTGACATACCTACTCTCAGGTAGGCCCAGATGCTGCATGGTTTGATGATGCCTCCTCTTTCGTGCTGCTCATTGCCCCTCTTCGGTGCGGGCTCCCTTGCATCTCTTCTCGCGACATGCAGCCACTGGGCGGCATGAGCCAATGACTGACGCCGAGGTCGCTCCAAGACGGGTGCCGTTCGTAGGCTCTCTCACGGTTGGCGCGCTCCCCTGCGCTTGCAGGAGGGAGCGTCAGCTGTCACTGGACAGACGGTGGCCGACTTCTGTATCCAGCATGGCTTCACGGTGGGCCGAACGTGGCTCGAGACCGATCCGATGGGGCCGACCCTCCTGCTGGGACGAGGGGATAAGGGTTGGATGCGTGTGTCCAGCAGTAGCCCGTGGTGGCGGGCATTTTTTTGCGCTGTTTGTCGTTTCGTTCTGTGGGCAACGAACCGTAAGCATCCACCAAGATGCATGCGAAGTGTCGAAATGCTTTGAGTGGCGGGGCGGAGGTTGAAAGAACGCAGGAACTTGTGTCTGGAACGCAGCATTTGGTTTGGCGGTGGAAGACGTTGCCAGGGATGAGGGGTTGTAGAAGAGGGGGAGATTATTTGGCAGATGTAGGCGGTCAAACGGCGCGTTGATGGCGGGGTGAACAGGCGATCTGTTGGTCAAAAACGCCATGAAGAGAGAGAATTCTCAGCAAAAGTGAATCATCTGGGCCGCGCTGTCAGGACAGCTCATTCGCCTGGTTGTGTTCTGCCCAGTCAGTCCATGCCCTGCCCTGTCTTCGGTTCCAAGTACCTTACAGCGTGTATGCACCAACGTCTGCCATCCGAAGACTCCAGCTGCACTGCGATGTCAGAGACGCGGGCTTAGGTGCATATTCTGGGCCATTCCACACTTGCGCTGCAACCCGAGGTCACTGGGACTGTTAGCTTGCCTGGATCACCGCTAGCTGCAGAACATTGGCCAAACCTTGCTATTAACTAATCAGAATCCCGTCGACTTCTCCCGCGATTATGATCGGTTCGGAGGCAGTTTCAACACACGGTCGAGAGTCGTCAATAATGGATTACTTTATCTACAGACTGATTTTTTCAACGTAAACCTCCAAAAATGCCCTGCAGGGCAGAGCATGCGGGGGCTAGTGGCATCGAGTGTCCCTTGCAGGGATATCGCTGAGGGTCATTGTAACCCACTTTCCTAATGCGGACGGCAACAGACTGGTGTCTGGTAGGAAAGTCTTTCAATCCTGCGGAATGAAGATATAATATATCACGAGCAAATGCATTTTAGCTTGAAGTAGACGATTTATTTCATCAACTACTTGCAGGGCCAACTAAGATATTCATTCTCTCGTGTTTTGGGGGGTATCAATTCCATCGCATCCCGAACTCGCAAACCGTCATTTATAATAATCGCGACGCCAAATCATCTCCCTCACTGCTTGGCTTCCGCCTGCTTCTGAATGTCGTGCTCAGCACCGCGCTGCTGAGTCTTGCCAGAGTCGTGCATGTCCTGGTAGTGTTGCTGGCCAGCCTTGTCACCAGTCAAGCCGGCAACAGCACCGCCAACGGTACCCTGGACGCGGTTCCCAATGCCGGAGGTGTAGTCGTTCAGCTGGCCCTTGGCCTCTTGTTGCTGTCCTTCGAGGTTCTGCTGGCGACCCTGCTGCTTAAGGTTCTGCAGTGTGTTAGTGAGGTGTCAAATGGAGCAGTAAATAATGATCGGATATCATCGTACCTCAGAGCCGACGAGGCCACCGGCAGTCTCCTTAGCGGAGCCGACAGTCTGGTTCCAGGAACCGCTGGCACGGTCAGGATCGTCCTTGGTCACGCCAGAGGCAGTAGCAGTGAAGCCGGGAACCTTCGCAGTGGCGTGAGAAGCATCGTGCTCAACCTCAGCCTTGTTCTGCTTAGCCTCGCCCTTGTTCTGATCGGCGGTGCTGCCAGTGAGGGAGCCAATCAGGTTCTGGGCGGCGCCGGTGGCAGAGTCGACATAGGACTTAAGGGTAGAGGTGTTGTCGTTGTTGGCAGACATGTTGGGTTGTTTGGATGGATGGAAGGGATTGGTAGAAGTGGTTTGTTTGGAGGTTGAGTGTGGTTAGATCTTGTCAAGATGTGTTGATGTGTTGAGTTGGAGATCAAGGATCCAGTAGAGTCTGGGGAGAGAAATGGTATTTATCTACAAGGAAAGGTCATAGCTTCTTCAGCTCTGGGGCAGGCAGCATGTGAACATCGTGATTTTGGAAGTCGCGATGGCGTTTGCCTGGCCAAACTGATCGAAAAGTGATGTCATATTGGAGAAGGTCCTACCAGAAGCAGGTGTGTAGGAAGGGGCCAGTGTGGAGGGGGAACGTAAGGAGGGGCGCTGCTGCATCTTTCGCGCCTCCCCATGATGTCATTTCGCGACCTCAACCTTCAGTCGCACCTCACCACCACACACTAACGCACGCGTACCAACGCCATTTTGCCCCCGTCCCGACCCCTTTTCGTACTTGTCTTCCGGCACACTGAGATGTGTCGCAGTGGCCATGTGAGCCCACCGTAGACGTAATAAGGACCAGCCTGGACTTTCCCTTGCAAGACTTGCGTCCATTTGAAGGAAAGCTCGATGATGCACTCCTGCTCCCGCCTTGGCAACGAGATCCTAGGCAATCAGACAATCGGGTAATCGCATGGCGCGACCGCGTGCCTGACTCCTGAGCATTGAGCCCTGCGGCCCATGTTTGGACTGTCCCGGATTACGGCGAGCTCGTGGCATTCTTGAATTTGAACAGAGATCTGGACGGAACCAGCGGCATGCATCTTACCAGGTTGGTTAGCTCACGGCTGTGTGCATTCTTCAAACACACAATCCATGTCATTCGCCAGGCACTGCACGCTAGGTTCGACTGCAAAATACATCTGGCCGTCGCTCGGAGAGCATTCTCATTTGCCATTCGTGCCGTAAAGTAGGTATGGTAGTGTACACGCCAGATCATCAACGGCCCAAGTATCCTCATGTTGAAATCAACCGGCCCGTAGACGCCAGCCAAACTCTGACTTTCCTCGTTCGCCCCGATTCCAACTCCATTATCCCTGAGCACAAGAACAAAAGGCCGGCTGTTAAGGTAGGTATCTCAAATATGTGTTTTAATACAGGCAACCCAGGTAGGAGGGATGCGGCGTGGGCAATGCGCCTGCGCCAATTTTCTGCAGGTCTGTTTAACCCAGACTGTGGAGGATGATAGGATTAGTTGCGTAATGTTCGTTGAAGCATAAGTCATTCCTCAGTGCTGACTCCATTGAATAGTGTTGAGGTCAACACCCTCCTGAACCAGCTCCCACAAAGGGCTGAGCTCACGAAGGAAGTCCACCCTCTCCTTCACGGCCTTCAGCACGTAGTCGATCTCTTGCTCGGTCGTAAAGCGACCAATACCGAACCTGATACTGCTGTGGGCACTCTCGTCGCTGTTGCCCAATGCACGAAGAACGTAACTGGGCTCGAGGGAGGCAGACGTGCAAGCACTGCCGGAGGAAAGAGCGATGTCCTTCAGGGCCATGAGCAGAGACTCGCCCTCAACATACGCAAAGGAGACATTGACACATCCAGGGTAGAAGTGCTCAGGGTCACCATTCTGAGACGTATGCTCCAAAGCCAGGAGGCCGTTGAGAAGTCGGTCGGAGAGGTACTTGATGCGCTTCGAATCGTACTGTTGAAATTGTCAGCCAATGCTACTCCCAAATCTTCGACAGACAAAATGGTGGTAAATGGGTGAGGGGTCAGACAGGTTGCTATTAATCAACACGGACGTCCTTGTCACGGGACATTCAGAAAGCCATGCATGTGTAAAGCGAATCATCATCCAAGCTGTTGGAGAAACGTAGGGGAATTGAGAGAGGAAATTTCCAACATACCTCCATCTCCTCGTATGCGATGCGGCACGCCTCGCCGAAACCGGCAATCAAAGGCGGGGCGAGAGTGCCGCTTCGCAGGCCTCTCTCCTGGCCGCCACCGCTAATGATAGGGTCGAGCCTCACTCTGGGGCGACGTCGAACATAACAAGCTCCAATACCCTTGGGACCATATATCTTGTGAGATGAGATGGACATCAAGTCAATGTTCATGGCATTGACATCAAGCGGGATTTTGCCGACGGCTTGCGCTGCGTCGGTGTGGAAAAATGTCTTCCTCTCCCGGCAGAGTTTTCCAATCTGCTCGAGAGGTTGGATAACACCAATCTCGTTGTTGACCGCCATGATACTGACAACGGCAGTGTCGGGGCGGATGGCTGCCTTGAGCTCTTCCATGTCAATCAAGCCGGAGCTCTTGACAGGCAGATATGTGACCTCGAAACCTTCGTCCTGGAGATGCCTGCAGCTGTCGAGGACGCACTTGTGCTCGGTCTGGGTCGTAACGATATGCTTCTTCTTTCCAGACCTGCCAAAGAACCTAGCGACACCCTTGATGCTCATGTTGTTGCTCTCGGTTGCGCCGCTGGTGAAAATGATCTCCTTCGAGTCAGCGCCGATGAGCTTGGCAATGTGCGACCGAGCAGTCTCGACAGCCTCCTCACTCTCCCAGCCGTACGCATGTGTCCTCGAGTGGGGGTTTCCGTAGATGCCGGTGTAGTAGGGGAGCATTGCGTCGAGGACGCGGGGGTCGACGGGGGTTGTCGCCTGCATGTCGAGGTAGATGGGCCGCTGGCCCTCCTCCATGGTGGTGACCTGCTTCAGGACCTCCGCCATGGGGCTTACCATGACGTTTGAGGCATCTGGTGACTGAGGGACGACATCGATGAAGTCCTTCTTGTCGAGTTTGATGGCGGTTTCGACGTTAACCTGCGCATTATCACGCTTCGTTTCCGAAACATATCTGCGCTGCTGAGATAATCTCTGAGCCGGGGCTGTCGCCACCCTTGATAATGAGGAAAGGCCTCGCGAAGGAGTCGCGGAAAATGTTGAGTGCCTGCAGAGGCGACCTGCCTGCCTCAAGGCGTTTGTTGTGATACTAGCCATGATGTGTTTGGATGGAGATGGCGTAGGGAAGAACAGAGTAGCGACCTTCGAGGAAGAGGAGGGAGAAGGAAAAAAGTCAAGTAGCGGATCGAGAAGCGGAGGAGGTGGTGAATTTCGGCTCGGTGATAAGGTCAAAATCGGTGCCGTGATTGGCCGGGCCCCACCAAATCATGACGCACAGCCTTTCTTCTCGCCCCCATTCGTGGTTTCAATTACTACGCAGTGCGCTACCGGCTGTAGTGGTCGGTGTCGGCCGAAGGGCCCCCTTCTCGTAGGTAAGCTGAGATGATGGAGGGGTTTTTTTGCACAACTCCGGACGGCAAGACGGCCGGCGAAGTACCCGCACACTGCCCTACGAGATGAGCACGATTACCTAAACCTAATGTGCAGTGACAGGCCTCCCAGGACGAGCTGAGCCGAACAAACTGTGCTGGTGCTGGGGACCGGGGTCCTGGGGTCTCTTTGGACGTGGAAACGCGTTCTCGGGGTCGCTTTTCTTTCCCCGTCCACCGCTTTCGCTGCGACCAACCCGACCGCGAGAGAGCACTTCCGTACCTCAAGTACCCAGTGATGATGCGGCGGTAAGGTACCCAGCCCATCCATCCCGTCCGGTAAGGCGCCCACGGTAATAGCAGTAAAGTACTGGGCTGCGTCAACCACTTACTCGAGTCCCGGTGTATCCCACTTGGCTTTTTCACTTCGCATTGCACAATTTCCTGCTTTGTATGCTTCGGATAGGTGTACCTTAATTCTCAAATTCTCTTTCTTTCTTCTGCTTCGCTCCCTCCCTCCTACCTTGGGATCTACAAGCGTTTTCCTAGCGTCATCACCACCAAACTTCACCACGACCGTCTTGCGCCCGAAACCTGTCCTAAGGTACCTGCTCCAGTCAAGGCACCCGCCAAAGCTGTCCCCCCAGCGCTCCAGCGCTCCAGTCAGCGTCTTAGCTCCTGGCAATCGGCATCAGGGCACCCTATGCGCCACAGCCAAGCGCGGTAGCTGACTGACACAGCCACGCCTACGTCGTCACCAGCGACAATCAGGTTGCGAAAGCCCACTCCTCATAAGGTTGGACGTGGAATACCCTCAGACAGCGAACACCCTCGTCATAACCTTATCCCACGATTCCTCCGCTGTTGCTCCTCATTGGCACAACTTTCCTCCTTCCTAATCCCATACATCACCACCACAATTCCACCCCGCCATGAGCTTCCGGGGCTTCCAGAAAAGCGTCATTCGGGTACGTGTGTTTCGTTTCCACCAAATGAGGGGTCTTTCCGTCTCTTCCGCTACGTTACGCGACGAGCCACCCGTCTCCTCTACTCTATCCACGCTGACTGTTGACCTTGCTGGGTCTTTCGCGATAGGCGCCGCAACAATTCAAGGCCCGCTTCAATATTGGCGAACACACAAAGGATGCCGTCTACATCGACTCCGAGCGCCGCTTCCAGGAGCTCGAAACCGAAACCAAGCGATTACACGATGAATCCAAGAAATACTTCGAGGCCATCAACGGCATGCTCAGCCATCAGATCGAGTTCAGCAAGGCTATGAGCGAGCTCTACAAGCCCATATCCGGTCGCATGTCCGATCCCATGAGTATCGAGGTCCAGGGTAACCCCGACGGCATCCGCGCCTGCGAGGAGTACGAGGCCATTGTCAAAGACCTACAGGAGACCCTTGCGCCCGAGCTCGAGATGATTGAGAGCAGAGTAATCCGTCCCGCGAACGAACTGCTCGATGTTGTCAAGGTTATTCGTAAGACGGCATTGAAGCGCGAACACAAGAAGCTCGATTACGACCGCCACCGCCAGACCCTGAAAAAGCTGCAGGACAAGAAAGATCGGACCGCCAAGGACGAGAAGGCGCTGTGGAAGGCCGAGAACGACGTTGAGCAGGCCACCCAAGAGTTCAACTACTTCAACGACCTCCTCAAGGAAGAACTGCCTCGCCTCTTTGAGCTTGAGCAAGAGTTCATCCGTCCTCTCTTCCAGTCCTTCTATTACATGCAACTCAACATTTTCTATACACTGCACGAGA